ACAGTTCGGGTATTATTCTTACATGGGAAAGGTAAGGATAGGTTACCAGCCCAGACCACCTCAATGTGCAACTACTCTTTCACTTGCTCCTATGGAGCAGGCTAGATTGGTCGCACAAGCCGGCACCTGTCAAAAAGAATAAAGGAACACCCCCCGGCATGGCTGGAAAAAGGTGAAACCAGCAGGAGCATAAACAGCTCCATTCTGGCGCGCATGGTCGATTCCGGACGTCAGGTAGACCCCAACGAAGCTTACCGAGTGATCTACAAGGTCCCACCAAATTATGCAAAATGTCCCTGGGTCAGCGCCTGCTAGCAACAACAGAAGCGACCGCTATCAGGCTGATGCAGCCCGCATTGTGTGCACAAAAGAACTTCCTACAAGCTCCACAGCTGGCGTGGCCCACAGTCACTTAACAGCATGCAGTCATCCACGCTCTGTTTGTCTCCCTCCCCCCTCCCCCGTTCCTCCCTTCCCCGGTCTCCCCTCCCCTAGACTGCTCCATCAAACCCTACCCTCATCACAACCAGCATTCGCTTATCGATCCCACCCCCACCTCCATTCCCACGACTTACTTGTCCGAAAAGACGAACACGTTTGAACTTGCACCCAGTTTCCATATAAATGTGGGGCCTGACGAGAATTTGTCGAAGGTATACATGTACTCGCCAAACTACTCTTGTGAAGAACAAAGTCGTTTGCAGGTAAATGCAACGTGCGTATTCTGCATTTTATTTAAAGTTGTGCCCAGATAGTTTCAAAGCATATTTAACTGAGAAAAACAAAAGAGATGTCACTATTGTCAGTTCGTTGGTACCGGCACCTGAGTGATTCTAGGTCTGGAAATGTGTTTTTTTACTGTTTTTTCCGCATGCATCGAGCAATAACGTCGAGAGGACGTGAATTTCGGAAAATTATTTTGAAAAGAAAGTTTAATTCTGTTCGATATGTTTCCATATCCGAACGATGCGTTCCGCTTGAGTTAGCAAACTTTTCACAGAGTTGCGTTTGTGAGACATTGGATGTTTGCTACCAAACTGTAGGATGACTTCGAAGTATATATCTTCACTGTAAACCGACACATGAAGCGTTCTATCGGTCTTTCCGTGTACGAGGACATCTAAGAATGGGAATTGTTCGTCTGCCCCTGCGTCGAAAGTCTGTTGAATTCCCGGAAATGTGGAGTTCGGGTTTTGAGAAGAAGAAGAAGAAGAAGAAGAAGAAGAAGAAGA